AAAAAAAAAAGTGTAAGAAAAAAAAAACAAGCTGAGATCCCACTTGTCAATTCTTTGTAATATTTCCCTTGCAGTCTGGGTTTTGTTGATAAAGCTCTGTCTACACCTGTATCTTCAAAATTTCTACCTATTTTATCTTCCAGTAAATTTAGTGTTTCTATTTTAATATTTAGATCTTTTATCCATTTTGATTCAGTTTAGCATAGGGTATGGTTCTAGTTTCAGTATTCTGCATATGAAAAGTTAGTTTTTCCAGCACCATTTATTAAAGAGGCTATCTTTCTTCCCATGAACATGTTTGGCCCTTTGTCAAAGATAAGGTGGCAAAGTGTGTTTGGGGTTGTGTCTACATCTTTTATGAAGTTCAATTGATCCTCAAGCCTTTTTTTTTCCTACAGCATACTAATTTTATCACAGTAGCTTTTTAATAATAATTTACTCACTTAATTTCTTGGAAAAGTCTTTTACAAGTTTTGTTTGCCCTTTGTAAAACACACACACAAACTCAAGAAGAGACAAATAAGGAAGAGAAAAAATTAGAAAAGACAAATTCAGATAATTTTGATGTTTCATTTTGTCCTCCACCGAGGAACTTGGTAAGATCAAACTAACAGCGGAATTCGGATAGGGATCATCATAACAAGGTCATTCCCTAAATAAGAAATAGTTATCCAGAACTATCACACAATCAATTGAAAAGAGATTGTCTTTCTTATTTAAAATATGTACATGTATGTGCTAGAGAGTTCTTATCCTATAGACCTTTCTTGATGTACTCAGGCAAGCTACTCCCAGATTAAGCAGAACTCTTTATAAAATAAGAAAAACAGTTTCTTTGGTAATGCTATCAACAGCATGATTAACTTGAATCTAATCATGAGAAAAATATCAAAAAGGGATGATATTTTATAAAATAGCTAGCCTTTACTCTTGAAGTGTCAATTATATGAAACAAAAAGAAAGACTCCAGAACGTTCACACTAAAAGAATAAAGAGACATGGTAGTTAATGGTAATGCATGAACAGAGTTTCTTCTATTATAAATAATATTAATGAGGTAATGTGTAGAACCTAAATAAAATCTATACATTGTTAGTAGTATCCTGTTAGTGTTTGTTTCCTGATTTAGATCACTACAAAGTGGTTATAGAAGATAATTTTTTTGTTTGTAGAAATGCACACATTACAGTATTTAAGAGATAAAATATCATATTAGCAACTACTCTCCAGTGAGATAACCAAAGAATAGTAAAGTAAACATGATCACATGATAATATTTAAGAAATATGGGTGTCATTTTACCTGGTTCTAGGGATTTAGAAATTCCTCATACTATTTTCTTTTAAACTTTTCCATAAGTTTAAATATTTGTCAAAAAATAAAACCACCAACAAAAATTGTTGAAAATGAGTAAAGTAACCTAAGGTATTCTAACCCTAAAATTATTACAATTTAGGTTCTTAATGATATAAATGATGAGATAATAGTTATTTTTAGAAAAATGAACCATAAAATGATTTTAATGCCTCGATATATTTCTAATACAACATTCATGTTAAGTTTACTTGGATGACTTTTAAAAGAGATTAGGTATCAAAATTATTTATCAACCTTATTCTTTTTTTCTTTCTTCTTTTTTTTTTTTTTTGTCTTTTTTTTTTTTCATTTTTACCGGTATTGGGGATCAAACTCAAGACTGCCTGCTTGCAAGGCAGGCACTTATGCTGCTGAGCTAAATCCCCAGCCCCTCAACCTTATTCTTAAATCTAGCACTTCTTAAATGTAAAATGTCAACAGTTTGGTAAATATTAAATGTGACTTGTTAGCATATTAATTTCATATCAATTGCATTTTCAGTTACATATTTTACATTGTGTTATATTAAAATGCATGGACATTTTCTTTATGTTAACAAGAAACATATTCTAATAATGCCTCTTTAGAAATCACTAGGTAAAAGGAGTACAGTGTGGAAGAATTAGTATTCCATAGCAAACAAAGAGATAATTTAAATAGTTAAATAATTTTATGATTTTGGATAACTATCTCCAACTGAAAATAGTTCAGAACATTATAATTACTAATATTTATTGTTCTCACTATGTTAATTTATTTAAAGTTAAATAATCTCTAAATTCCTTCAAACCGTCTTATACTTGGGAATACAGTATTCTCATTTTGTTTTTTAATTTTATTTTATTTTTATAGTGTATGTGTATAATCCATAATAATTGTATCTATCATAGAGAGTTTGTACGTGTACATAGCACATTTAATTTTTTATCTTCCCCTTCCCATTCCTCTGTGATCCCTCCAGCTCTTGTTCCCCTTGCCTTTTGAAAAAGCTCTTTCAAATTTTTTCTTCAATTCTTCATTTTCAGTCTACTTTCCTTTCCTTCCCTCCCCCTCTTCATCTCTCATTCCTTTTCCCATTTGCAAAAGATCTTTTGTTTTAAATTATTATAGAATAGTGACACTTTTCTTGGCAATTCTTGGCCTTAGCTATCATTTATTAATGCTACTAGCTGATGAGGAACTCTACTGTCTCCTTTATGAAATGGATAGTCAATAGATAAGACACCTTAAACAGCCTCACACAGACATTTATTGTCTCCACTCTGAGCAGCAGCCACTTGATCTTTGGAAATGCATATCTTCCTCTTTTCTAAAAACTACTTCCAGACTGTTTTCACAAACTGATCACCAACTTTGAGCCGCGATCTCCTCTGCACCAGCAGCCACACAGAAGCCTGCTCTGCACAGCTGTCTGACTTCTCCGTACTACTTTGCTTCAGCATTCTGCAGCTCCAGTAGCAGCTGATCCTGACAGCTACTTAAGAGAAGTTATGCAGCTCAGAGGCCCAGAATGATCTACACAATGTGAGCTGACTAAGAACACAAACAAAACCACTGCAACTGAATTAACATAGAAGTTCCTGGAACGGAAGTTGAGAAAAAGTGTGGTTCTAACTTCACAAAACCTCCACCCTTCCTTTCTGTTCTAAGGGAAAATTTATGTTGAAGAGAAAGAAATCTGCCTCTTCATCCTCATTCAAAGCCACATCCTATCAATGCTGTCATGTGGACATCTGCCCAAGGATAAAGCAAGACCTGTTTATTTGGTGATTTTGCCATCCACTTTCAAGTGCCAAGTAGGATAAAGGGCTTTCCAATTCACATGATCTTCTGACATGTTATACTGTGGTTTCTCTTGCTTATTTTCATTTCCAAAGTGCCCAGGGGTTCAATCCCTTTGACTTTGTATATATAGCATTCTGTGTCTGGAATGTCATTACACCCAGTCTCCATAGCAAACTCATACTCTTTTGAAAGTGAGCTCAAGCAGTCACACCCTTTTCCATGGAGTCTTTGACACATTTTAAAATCTTCTTTAAACTTGTACACATTCGCCTGCCCTTATAGAAAAGAGCATATTGAGTTGTATTTGTGTATTGCTGTGGCAGTTCTCCATGAGAGACACTTCGATGTTGATAACCGCCACGCCAGTTATCTTGGTGTCTTCAGAACAAGGCAGAATGCCTGGTCACTGGTATGTTGCAGAAAAGGAAAGGATGAGAAGGGACAACAAGAATCTGAGGGTCTCTGGGTAGTCAGGCGTTATCCAGAGGGCATAAGAAACTAAAGACCAACAGAATGTTTCCTTTCTTTTTGTGCCCTTATTGATAGAAAAAAGTAAGGTCATTTAAGGTGGTAACAATAGCTGTGAAGGTCTCTGAAAAATTTTCTGTGCATATAAAGCCCCCCACGCTTTCATTTAACAGCTAACTATTCTTAACTGGCCCACACAGGAAATATCTCCGGAAATCGTGTTTCAGTTCAGCTTCTGCTCCCTTTTAACTACAGTTTCAAAATAGTACAGATTCCATTTAAGAGTGAGATAGCAAAATATTGTTCATACAGCAGCAAAGGTTCTTTTTGGCTGACCTTTCTTCCAAAAAACTTAGAAGTAAGATATTTCTTATCTCCCATGGGAATTTCATAGGCCCAAGAGTAATGACCCAAGAGTAAAACTTCCTTTCTACTTCAATACTAACACCAGTGCTTTTCAAAATGGTATCTGGCCTGAGGAGGTATTTGACTGACATAATCAATAAGCAAATACATTAAAAGTCTGGTATTTATTTTCAAATTCGAAGCTCAATAGTACCTGACATGTAGATCTTGGAAGAAGAAATATCTAATATAAAGCTCCCTATAGTGACCAGCAATTACTGTCATGGTCATCAAAAGTCAGAAGCAAAGCTCGACTTATATTTTGTCAACTCTTTGTAACTTCATTAGCTATAGCACATGAATTGGCAATTATTGTTGAACCAAGATTTGTGGATTGATTTTCATAAATACATTTAATATATTTATCAATATTCATGTTTTGCATGCAATAATAGGGGAGCTCTGCAGATCATAATATCTCTTTTGCTCTTTGAAAACCAACATATTCAGTATCCTTAGTGATATCTAGCTTTTATCGCTTATATTAAATTTACATAGCATCTCATGTTATAATTTTCAGATATTCTTCCATATAGTATCTCTTTATTTTTGAAAATTTCTCAAATGAAGAAGAGCTACAACTCCCAGCTGCCTTTCTAAATGGCTCTGTGAGTTTTCATCCCACTTTAAAAATCACAAGATCAATTTTCTGAAGACAAAAGCACATAAGAAATCTTTCCAACTTCATCTCACACAGAAAACTCCAGCACCAGAAATTACCATACCCAGCAAGTAATTCACATTCTGTAGTAATTAAGGCATGTAAACTGCCAGACCCAGAGATACAGCAGGTAATGGGAAACTGGTTAAGTTAAAGTGATTCTGACTTGACTGCTTCTTGCTGATCTTTTCTACTTGCAGCACTAAATAGTTGTGAAACAAAAGACTGTACTAGAAAGATATATGAGACTCCTAAAAAGCTACCTACCTTACACAGAATTATCCAGAGCTTTGCACTCAAACAAGATTAAAAAATCATGTCTTACCTTTCACAGGCACCTTGCCTCAGTCCGTCAGGCAATGTTTGGTTATTATCTTTCAGCTGGCCTCCACAGGACTGGTTATACAGATGGTCAGGCTATTTGTGTAAAAGGAGAAGTAAAGAGAAAAAAAACCGTGATCGTACTGCGATGAGAGGAAGCCAGATGAGAAGACGGAGGAAGTGAGGCTGAGTTTACCTTCTTAGCCCCAGAGATTCCACCCATCCCCCAAGCTTTTTAGCCACTTCCTTCAGTAACCCACCCTACACTAGCTTCTGTGAAACAAAGAATACTTGGAGACCATGTTTGTTCAGGCACTAGTCTGAGAGGCCTGGTGGATTACGCGGTAATTTGGGTGGTGATTTTTGTCTGGAGAACAGTGATTCTCAACCAACATGGCTGCTCAGAATTACCTATGAAATTGTTCAAGAACAAGCAGTCTTGGCCTTACCACAAGAGTTTCCCATTTAGATAGATTGATGCATGAGTAAAATGCTAAGTGAATATTTGTTTGTTTTCTATGACAGACTTAGAAATATCTTTTTAAACATACTTCTCTCCCCCCCACTCTCTCCAATGGATTCACATAATCTCTAAAACTCACTTTGATTGGACATCATTTTCAGATTTCTCTGACTCAAAAGCAAGCTTATCTTTATGTAAGCACATGGTCATCATGGATGGTCCTCAAACATAATTCCTAGTGAATCAATAGAAATGATTTGGTTAGTAGAGGGAGCACCAGATTGAGAGAATGAAGATCTGGCTTTTAGTGCTAGCTTTATCTCTGCTACCTTTGAGATCTTCAGCAAATCTTAACCCCTCAGGATCAGTTTATTAATAGTAACATCTAATAATAACCCCACTAGTCACTGTTTTATCTTCACTTAGGGATGAAAAACATAACCTCAAAGAGATTATGTAATTTGCCCCAGATCATACAACTAAAAACTAGCAGAACCAGAACTAAAATTCAAAGTTACAGAGAATGCTATTTAGAAACACTGTGACAGGAAGATTTTGACAAACATGTTTCTAATTTCAGATCTACTACTGAAACTGCATCTACTGGAATTTTTTTTTAGGTGGAAAAGTCAAGGAATTTGACAACAACTCAATTACATTACTGGTCAATTGTGAAATTCAGAACCAGTCACTGAGCACCAATTTCTTTATCTGCTAAAGAAACAGATAAATGACACTCTCCTCAGTGCTTGACTTGGAAACATGCATCTGAGAAAGTTAACTGTTTTCCTCTTCCTTCACTTTGTAACATTCAGATTAAGAAGTAATATATAATGAGGGCTGAATCCTAGGGAAAACTAGATTAAATCAAGACAAAATTTGGAGGTTTTTTGCTTTGCTTTATTTTTGGGTTTTTTAAAAATGTTTTTTGTTTGTTTGTTTGCTTGTTTGAGGTGCTGGGGATCAAACCCAGGGCCTCATACATGCTAGACAAACACTCTACATCTGAGATATGCTCTAGTCCCAAAATTTTCATTACTGCAAAGTTTATAACAACTAAACAGGGAATATGCTACTCATATTTTCTCAGACTCATTTGACCATCAAACTCTGTGTGTGTGTGTGTGTGTGTGTGTGTGTGTGTGTGTGTGTGTTTCCCCATGTGTGGTTTCTTTCAGGAAATATTTCTTTAGCATTTTGAAAAGAATAAAATATTGTTTTTATAAAAGAAAAGTATTAACACAATTGGTTGAAAACTTATATCCACAATAAAACCTGCGAAAAGTGTCCATAGTAGCTTTATTCATAGTCAACAAAAAACTGGAGTCAAGCAAGATTTCCTTCGTGGGTATGTGAATAAATACACTATGGTATATTTTATAATTTTCATTTGTCAATAAAAATGAGCTATCGAGTCATGAAGGGTATAAAGGAAGCTTAAACACATATTGCTAAGTAAAAGTATCTTATCTAAGAATATTACACACTGTGTAATTCCAAATAAGTGCCATTTTGGAAAAGTTAAAACTACAGAGACAATGCAAGAATCAGTGCTTTCCAAGGACTTGGAGGGAGGGATCAACAGGTGAAGTATGGTAGGTTGATGAACTAGGATGGTGAACTATGCTATGTGAAACTGTAGTGGTGACCACAATATTAGGCATTTGCCAAAACTTAAACCACAAATAATGAAACTTTAAAGTGACACGTGGAGTATACGTAAGTGACTTATATAAGTAATTTCAAACAAATTCACATAATTTTATTGCTATTATAGTTGTCATATAAAATATAGGTATCTAAAGATTCTAACACTTGGTTTCACATTACCTGAAAATGTCTGGAGTTTCAACAAAAGCATATTAAAAATGAATAAAAATTGAGGTTTTAGAATTAGTTATAGATTCATCTCGAGACCAGCAACTGGCCTGGGAAGAATCAAGGTGATTACCTTCTCCCCCATATATCTGTGGAACCAGACGACTTGGGCAATGCCAGTCACACAGTAGGACCCTGACCAGGATGCAAAAATGGATAGGCAGGACAATTGGTGTGGAAAAGTCCAAAGCAACGTTAATGACACAAGTCAACAGAAGCATAATTTAGTTACAGAGTTGGAATTGGGCTGTGGTGAGGTGAACCAAACTTGTGCTTGGTGAACCAAAGACGTCATGTGGTAAGGTGAACCATTCTTGTACTTGGGGACAGAGACACTCAGAATAGAAATAGGTGGGTGGGGCCATCACTTTCTTTGACCTTTTATTTTTACTTTTATCTTTCTTTTTCTTCTTTTTTCTTATGGGTTTTTCCATCTTTTCTAAATGACTTGGGAAATTTTCAGCCACAGAAAACTAATCACATTTCCCTAACTCAGAGACAAAATTCAAATAATGCCTTGCTTATTCCTTCATTCTTTTTCTTCTGTCCTCGTCTCTAGTTTCCTGAAGCTTGCATGATTGTCCTTTGTTCTCCGTGTTTGCTTCTACTTCTTTTTCAATTACCTTTGTTTTATCCACTATTCTTAAATTTCCTCACCCCAGCATAAAACAACTACCAAGCGTTGTTTGCATGCAAGCTACTAATTTAAAATCAGTTCTGTTATATAACTGTTGGTTTTGTACCTGTCATTTAAGATACAAAATTATTAGTTTCCATACATTGTCAATTTTTAACTTGTTCTTGATGCTATTGTTATTGCTAATTATACTACTTTAGGTAAGATGTCATATCTGTTATAATCAATTGTTTGCCCTTCCATAACAATACTGAGAAGCTCTGGAGTAATAATCTCACCACAGCTCAATATTAAGTGACTGAGAACTGAACCAAACAGATACAACATCTCACTTTTAATTAATTGGGAAGGTGGGACAGACACAAAGACCCTTTTACACATAAAATATATCACTGAAGAACAGAAAGACCTTGAAACTAGTGATAAATCTATTACAAATCTATTACAAAATCTATTACAAAAACTTACAAGGCTCAACACACGTAGTAGAATAAAAAACTTTGAAATACAAAGTGACAAGAGATAAAAGCAAAATGCAACCTTCGACCTACAATCCATCCAGAAAAAGTCCAGTAGACAATGAAAAAGAGGAAAATGAAAAATATACACCTAAAATTTCTGAAAGGAGATCAACAAAATTAAAGAAATAAATCCATGAGTCTACAGAGAAAATCAGATCACAAATAATGTCTCAGGTGAAAAAAATAAATGCCAACTATAATCAAGGAATTGCTCAGTAAATCTAGAGTAGACACAGATAAAAAATAGAGCATAGGAAAAGGATGAAAACCTTGAATAAACAATATAGGAAATAAATAGAATGCATGAAATGGATTCAGATACTCAGGAAATTAAAACTTGCACTGAAAGTTGAGAAACCACTTGAACAAAACTAAAGATAGACTTTCAGACTTTGAAGACAGGATCATGGCTAGTGACCATGAAAGGAAAGATCTCTTAAAGATAATAAAGAATCAGGAAATAACAATTCAACAACTGCAAGATGATGCAAAAAAGCTTGGAGTGAAGCATTTCAAGCCCTGAAAAAAACTTCCAATCCAGATTGATGTAGCCTGAAACTATTTTTCAAAATTAATGGATGTTATGCCTGATACATTGTGTCAACTTGAGAAGTTTAGAAGTTTAACTGAGGAACTCCACATGGAGCCATGGTTCTTACTGTGTAAATATCCTCATCCTGTGCAAAGGAGGGCAAGGAGATTTCATGAGTGTTACACTTGCGCAGAAGGGCAGGAGAGCGGTTACTTGTGTATCATATAAGGAAGAAGAAGCTTGCTCTTCCCCTTTTTGCTCTGGCTGCAGCCTTGAAAAGTGTTGCCCAGTGCCATGCCACCCCACCTTAGAGCCAATTGATTATGAACTGAAACTTCCAAAACTATAAAATAAATAAACCTTTTCTTCCCTAATTTTGGGCATCAGATATTTTGCCTCAGCAGTAAAAGTAAGCAAGACAATGGAGAAATCAGATATTTCTATGACAAAGAACTGAAGAAATTCATGACCAAAAAGGCAACACTACAAAGAGTACAGAAAGATGTTCTAGATAGAGATAAATAAACACAATTCCAAGAATAGCAGATACTTTTTACTAGAGTTGAATCAAGCAGATAAAAATTTCTGAATAACTCAATATCAGTTAATGAAATTGAAAGCATAATTAAAAATTTACTATCAAAGAAAAGCACAGGTCCTGGTTGATTCACTGCTGAAATTTACAAGAAACTCAAGAAGATCATATGCTGATACTTCACAACTCTTTAGTGAAATTGAAAGGGAAGTAATACTCCCTAACCATTCCTGGAGACAATTATTTCCCTGATACCAAAACCAGTGGAGGACCCAGCCAAAAAAGAGAACTACAGGTCATTTGCCTAATGAACATATATACAAAACTCTTCAGTAAGATACTGGCAGACAGAATGCAGAAAATCACCAAGAAGATTATATACTATGACAAAATGGGATTACTTCCAGGAGTTCAGGGATGATTCAACATACACAAATCAATAAATGCAATATATTTTATCAACAGAACAAAATACAAAAATCACATGATCATCATAATACATAAAGGAAAATATTTTGATTAAGTCCAAAACTCATTTTTAATATCAGTAAATCAGTAGAGATGGTCTTCTCCTCAATCTGATAAAGGGCATCTATGACAAACCAA